TATATATATAATAATAATATTCTTTCTTTTTTTAGATACATTACCCATTTGGCATCAGTATTTATGAACAATCACTTTATTGGTTGATGGATACAAGCGGTCAACTGCAAAGTTGTAAACTGTATGGTAAAAAATCATGTGAAACAATAAATATAGGCAAAAACAATGTTCACAAACAGTTTGCCATTCTACATATTTCCAAACAACCTGTTGGTTGGTATAATATAATGTTTAAATATTCTAGCTATCTTAAAATTTTATCATGTATAATCTTGATAGAGTAAGTAAAATTAAATTATATTCGGTAGATAAAAATCCTTGCGATGAAAAGTATTGCGACTACATGTGCGTTTTGAAGAAGGAAAATGCAACATGTATTTGTTCAGATGGCAAATCGATAGAATCCAATAGTATTTGCACAATAAATATGAATAATGGACGGATATTTAAAAATCCAATGAGAAATGCACGGTACACAAGTGGTGCTTATAGCCTAATAATAATTGTATTACTAGTTATTGTTCTGTTATTATGCGTTTATTACTACTATCAGAAAAACAGATTAAAATTAAAACCGATAAACAATCTTAGGTACGTTCCAAATTTATTTTAATGTTGAATTAGGATTTAAATAGGAATTGATTGTTAAAAGAGTAATATAAAATATTATTTTTATATAAAAATTGTATCGTGATTATTATTAGCAGCAGCATTTATTTCCATAATCCGTCATACGATCGAAGCGACGAGGTTGAGGTAACACTCAGCTCAATAGTTGCAGGCTTATCTCCTGGACAGCACGAATACGTTAATCCTATCGATAATAAATTCGTAAATCTAAAGGTAAGTAGCAATTTTACACTTAAATGTACGACATTATTTTTTACGATTATACGTGTAATTACATTTATTGAATTATAATACTTACGCCTTCTCTAAATTTTTGTACAATCACATGAAATATACGTACGATTGCATGAAATAACTGTTTATTATGATTAAAGATAATTTACACTATTATCTAGATGTAGATAGGTTATTATAGACTTAAATATTTCATATTTTTTTATAGGATGCAATGGAAAATAGTGAAAATAGACAAAGGTCAGATTCATATTCGAAAGAAAGAGATGTTGAAGAGACAGAGAAACAAAATTCGTTATTTGTACAATCGAAATAATTTAAAGTTATAATAAAATTAGTATATCTAAATTATAACATTTTATAGAGCTGTATTTTATGTTTGACCATTTAACAATGTCAAATAATATGTAGGCTAGGAAATGTTCATGTTTGAAACAAAAATTATATAATACATATATCGTAACTCATTTAATTTCATATAATAATTGAGTATATCTAAACTACTGATTTATGTACATGTGTACATACGTATTGAGAAATATCTTAAGAGTTAATGTGTTAAAAACTGTTGAAATTATTAGTTAAGAAAATTATTTATATGACGTTTAGAATTTCGTAATTATTTATATTTTTAGTTTATTGTTATAAATATCAACTATTGAATATTTGCATTTATAAGCACATTTACCAACAACGATTTACATTATATTATAGTACATTAGGTAATACATAGATAATTCAAGTATAAGAATATACATAATGTTAATATAAATATTGATGTTAAATAATAGTATGTACAAATTTTTTATAATTTGTGTTTGTGTATAAAAATTACAATCGTGTATTTGTACACATAGAAAAATATGTAATGCAAGTAATAATTATGCTCTTATTTTAATTATTTCAAAAGTTTATCACCACAAATTTATTTATCTACCAATCTACAAATCTATCTATTTACAATTATTCCCATAGACCTCCTGATATTCTTACTTTTCAAGAGCGATGCAATGATATTCTCTCTCGCATGCAAAATAGCCGATCAGAAAATCGAATCCCCATTTAAAATTATTGAGAGATTGCACCCTTTCCTTCATCATTTTCTCATCACATCTCATGCTATTACTAAGCTCTAAGCTGTCTACTGCTCATCCTCTTATTTCCGATTTCGTCTCCTTTAACCTCGCAATTTTCCTCAGTTCCCACTCCTTCGTTTTCCTTTACTCTCCCATTCCTCACCATCTTCATTTCTCCTTTCTCTTCTTTTTCTGTACTCTGTCCTTTTTTCTTTCGCCTTATGTTACAATAATATATATGACAATACATTTTCTTAAAAAAAGAAATGCTTTCATGAAAATACATATTTTTGTTCAAATTATCTGTCCCGTGATATCGCTCCATTGACTTTTTTAATCAATACTTCTTAAATACTTTTTGAGATAAACTATGGAGCTTTCTCTTCTCTACGATATCGTCCGCAAGGAACAAGAAGTATGAAAAAACTTCTTTATTTCCACTGCCGCAACAAAATGGTATCTGCTTTTCTCAATATTGTTGACAGTTTAAGCAATTTTTAAGCATATGAAGCACATTGACAATTATCTACAAGCAACTTAATATTTGGGTGAATCGAATGTAATAATTTAGTATTACAAATACTACGAAACATTTGTTTAACAGATCTAAAGATAGAATTGTATTAAACGACTAAAAAAAAATGCTTCACAACTAGACTATTGTCAGCGCTTGTATTGTTAATGCGTGTATTGTCAGCAACAATTTTTTAATGTCTTGATAATTTCAATGTAATAAAAAAAAACTTGAAACAAACATATTTGGAAGTCAATGTTTCAGAATCGTTTCAAATGGCATCAAAAATGTGTTTTTTTTTATTTTAAGGTACAAGAAATAAATCTTACACATAAAAATTTCTATTTACTGTAGTGACTACATTTCTTTTTTTTTATATAATTTGAGTACGTAATAATATTCTCTCTCTCTCTCTCTCTCTCTCTCTCTCTCTCTCTGCTGCCTTAAAATAAATATAAATGTGTTATATTTTAACAAAATGTAATATATTTATAATTAAATGTAACTGTTATTGATCAAACCGTTGACATTTCATGTGATGTTGTATGGACTCATAAAAAATTAACATCGTAAAACATGACACTCAAGTTTTAATCGTTTTACATGTGTGTATATTTCTTTAGAATCAATTTATAAATTTCAATTTTAATTACAAAAGATTTTCTAATGCTTTTAATTACTAATATATTTGAAAGAAATACATCAAAAAATATCTAAAAAATGTGCTTGATTTTCGTTTATGCTATCCTTATTTATGTAGATACGATATATTTTATATTATATGATATATATTAATATTATTGTATTATAAGAGAGTTTTATACGATATCGCTGTTAATTATGTATATTTTTAATTAAACTCTTTTTAAGTTTCTAATTAAAAGATTTTGAATGCTATTTGTAGAATTTATTATTTTAATAATTTAATATTTCAAATATACAGTGGGAAATTTATGTTAAATTTAACACATTTCACGTGCCCCAAACGGTTCACTCATAAAAAAATTTTAGTGTTAATTTAATACAAGATGCATAGATTATTAGAAAGTATAATATAATATTAAAAATAGAAGGTAACACAATATCAAAAATAATATATAAATAGTTATCTAATCTAAGAAATTTATTAGTAAATTAGTTTTAACAATTTATACAAAAACTTTCTTTTTTTCCATTCTTCTCAATAATCTCAATTAGTCATCTCTTAAAATCCATCCAGATCATACATTAAGGTGCCATTTCATACAACTAATAAGGTTTTTACTCATACTCTATCAATTTTTATATACAGTGAAGTTACGTTTAAAATTCGATATTGTTCAACTAATAGCGAAACTTTTCTGAAATATAATACATGTCATGTCATAATTACGGAATATACCTTCTAAGATTAATTTTGGGAACAAAGCAAAGGAAAAATCATGTTTGCTGCGACTTTTGAAAATGGGTGTTATCCAGTACTTTCTTTTTTAATAATTGTATATTAGCACTGGCAACGGCGTCGCCTCTGAATCTGTTGCAACTATAGCTGTTACTATACGGGTATATTCTTTTACATACTCGATGTATTCTTATTTTCGTAATCCATTTTTATTAAAATGAATTAAAAGCAAGCGAAAATAAACGAGTATCTTCGTTAATTTAAAGCCAGCAAAGATACGCTCCATGAAAAGGAAGCAGGAGAAAAGCTTTTGAACGCTGTTTTAATTGCGGTGAAATGAGAATATTAAAGAAACTTCTTTAATCTCATTCTTTAATATTATTCTTGATATGAGACATATAATTTTTAACGCCGAATTCTAATGGTCAGAAAAGTTGTCATGACAAAGACACTCTCGATAGTTTGCCATTACTTTCGAAAGGTGATGAGCAAATAAAACTTGGGTGGATTTGAACCTGGATTTTTGGCACAGAAAGCCATATCGTTCTCTATGCCACGATCGCTACGATTGCTTTCTTTCAAACATACGTATCATGGATACATATATACATACATGCATATATATAACAGAAATATTAAACTTTCTCTGTACAGTTTTTACAGTTTTGCATTGCAATATAAATTGTTATCTTACAATCAATAAAAATGGAATTTTTTAAAAATATTGTTATTATTATTATTAAAATGCCTTAATGTTAATTCAATTATGATAAAAATCTAATATTTAAAAATTAGAAAATGTAAATACAACATCATTATATAAATGATTGTTGATACTAAAGATTTATGTGATTCCCGGTAATTCATATTCGATATATCTACATACACATATACAATAAAGAAACATTTATAATAAACATAATATAGTGTATATTCTCTCTCCCTCTCCCTCTCTCTCTCTCACACCCTCCCACCCACCCACCCCCCCACACACACACACACACACAAATTGTATGACTACCTATTTAATTAAAACTATTTTAGAGATGTATAATTTTAGCTAATTAAATAGGGACTATCAAGGGCACCAACACCTGCAACTATTCCGCCTTCATCCTCGCTCGATAATTTAGTTCTTAGAATATGTCCAACTTCTTTATTTAACATTATCTCATTGCTATCCCTAGAAATATTATACAAATATTATTAATGTCATTTATTTATTAACAAAGAATATAATAATCAAAATGCAAGTCATTCCATGTGTACTTACCCTACTATTACGCCATATATGCCAAGTTCTGTTATAACATCTGATGGATCAATGTCATCCTCTGAAGATGATTCTTCAGCGGCACGTACAAAATAATTTTTCTGTAAAGGAGGACAAAGGCGATCCATGAGAATCCATGCCGTTCTTTCTTGCGATTCCTTCATGGAACTTAACAACGTTTTTATATTTTCATTATATATGTTATTCCCTCCTCCTTCCCTTTGTGGTTTGAGAACAAACTTGTATGGTTCGTTTATACCCATTTCTATTGCTTTTTCTCCATCATCATTCTATTATTACAATAAATATATTATTTTGGATTTGAATTGCTAGAAGTTATTCATATAATTGTTAATTATATAAGCATTATGATGAAATAACGAATAGATTGCTTACAAAATCTAATGTATATAGACCAGTAAATATTTCTTGCACTCTAGCAACAGGTGCATCATCTTTTAGAAATTTTTTCAATACAGTAGATTGAGCTAAAGATTGTTGTACCTAAAAAGATAATTCTCAAAATCGAAATATTTTACAAACCTTAATTACAGCGAATATATGTTACAAGATTTATTTTATTTGTAATAAGTATGATAAAAATTAAATGTTTACGTTTTTTGTTAATTATTCCAATATTTCATACAGCTTTTGTACAGATAACAAAAAAAATTTGATTTATTGTATATCTTGTTTAGACAAATAAAAATTAAAATGATTTACATACTTTTTTAGTACCTGCTAAATGATATTGTACTGATGGACACTTTATTGCACGAGAACACTCTATTAACAATCTCATGTCCCATTCCTTTTCTGTAGGGTAAGCTTCAAGTTCGTAACCTGAACGATAGTAAACAACAGCCACTTCCATATTTGAACTAAAACAATTCAAGTAATTCAATATTTCAACATTTTAAATGTCTGTATTCTTTATTTAGTATTTATTTCTATATTTGCAAAGACTTGAAAAAAATTCTCTTTTAAAATATTTTGTATAAATTTTAATATAATTTATAACATAATTGTAATTAAAATTTGAACTTACACAATTAATTCTTTATTTGGTCCCAATTTCACTCCCTCCGATACTAAATTTGTTAAACTTTTTCTAATAATCTTAATTTTAGGACATAATTGACGAATTTGAAATTCATGAAACCTTTGATCGCTTATATTATAAGTTATATCTTCAACAATAAATAATATAACAGCCCTAAAACAATTTGTTTATTGGTCTTATTTATAAAATGTAACAACCAGAATATAATCTGCTCTATCACTCAACTTACTCTGAATTATTATACAATTCCCATGCGAATATTAATCCTTTGCAAAATCCAATAAGTGCATTATTTTCTGGAATCTTATGAATAGCAATAATCAATATTAATAAACTGTAAAATATTTTCAAAATATTATAGCATCAAAAACAATAGAACTATTCCCTTAGCTGAACTTCTTGCACTACTGTTCATCTTCCTCCCTTTTTTTCACATTGGAGTGAACAAGAGAAAAATGAACTCTGCAAGAAATCCAATTAAAAAGAACAGATTTACTAAAGAATTTTAGCATGTTACAAAAACCAAACATATAAATAACTGTATCTTAAAAAATTATAATAATGATAATATGAACAATTAATTTACTTGGCACGCTTTCTTCCTATATCCCAATTCTTCTAATATATACCTGTAAAATAAATGTTTTTATTAAAAACATTTAAATAAAAGACTTTTTAAATATTAATAATATTTCTTCTTAATAAAGTTTTTCACACTGAACTTACTTATGATATTCGGATGTAATTGTAGCCAAGGCCGCAAAGCTAGCTGCTATTGTATTTATTTCTACTTGCTTTATCTTACAGTCATCGTGTAATAAATAATCTGATCTCAACAGTCCAAGACTTATACTCTATATAACAGAAAAATCTTTTGTATTTGTGCACAATGATCAACTGCATCGGATCTTTTATTGATGTTAATAATATTAACCTTATTATTTAATATCACATACCTGGCTAAAACCTTTTTCATATACTGTCTCATATATGTGGAATAGCTTTGCTGTAAATGGATCAGCTTGGATTGTGCTAAATCAAATAATATAACTCTACAATAAGAAAAATTCCATTATGATTATAGTTTTTTTAGTAACAGTACCTTTTTAAGCTGCTTGTAAGAAATTCCTTATCATGAGCAACTTTATGAATAAGTTCGTTTAATATAGTTTGTACATTTTTTACAGTTAAAAAGGGTTTTTCGGGAAAGCTCGATGGTAACAATGTAACAGGTAGTAGTTGTACTTGGTCCTTATTAAAATTTGTCTTGGACCGCATGGATATCCCTAAGTAACATAAGATCTTATCACATAAATCTGTCTAAATGCATCATCTGAATTATTGCAATTATTTTATATTTGCATCATATCCTTGAATTCTTTATGCTTAAAATATAAAATAGCCATCATGTTTGCCTTTATGACTTGCAAGTTTTATCAGGAATGTGAGCAAGTGTATAAATATAATCATACATTTGATTATCAGCAATTTATTTCTTATCAGTAAAAAAACATAATTACCATGCATAAGCGCCCAGTCCTTCGCTTTATCTACGCTTTCTTTCAGCTTCTCCTTCGAGAGAGGAAGCTCGATACAGGGTTCTAATTGACAGGTGCTCATGATGAATCCAAAATCAAATTAGACAACAATTAAGTCAATCAACACTATCTAAAGAACCTCGACAAACGACAGCGGCCATATGGCCAGCTGTTGATAATCAGCAGCTGATTCCGTTTTTTCGTAAGATCATCAGATCACGTGCCGTGTAAGACAGATGGGAACTGGGAATCAAAGCTCCGCACACTAGCGAATCAACGTCCATTTTAATAATCAGGTACTACGTCTATTTCGCGACACTGCCGATAAAATCGTAACGTTAAAAGTAAATATGGTGTATGTCCGTACTAAAAGAGCTCGCCAGTTTCAATTAGCGCGGATAGAGATAATTAATATTTTTAATGGAATTCATCTATTGACGTGCACAATGCACTATGTAGCCGATTGTAGCCATGGATATTTCCGGCGGTTAATGCATACACAGGGGACTATATAAAAGAATAGGACAATATAATTTATATTAAATTTATTTAATATTATAATTAATATATGTATAAGTATACTTTTATCAATTTTTTTCGAATGTATCATTTATTTTTATAAATTGTTATATGTATATACTGTAGATTTGTATATATATTTTATTATCATTAGATATTATTATTATATTGCAAAATGTTATTTAAAATTATATGTTTCATTATTAAAGACAAAGTACTGTTAAACTTTCTCATACAAATATTTATAAAATATTTACAAAATATTTATAAATATTTATAAGATTTATTTT